GACCGCGTGGCACACGCCGCACAAGTACCGCATACATCACAATGGGGTGGCCTGGTCTGCACGCCGCCGGAGCCCTCCGTGGCCGGAAATGACCGTTGGGAATATCGGCGGGTGTCCCACTCCATCGCCCCCAAAACACTCGCCCGCCCCCCTAGTGGCCGTTGGAGAACTTTGTTCCCCGACGCGGTCCTTCCAGAGCGAGCGTGCATGCACGGAACATTGACGGGAAGCCATAGCCGGCGAATGTGGTGGAGGGGTTGCCGAGGAATAGGGGTTGCCGAAGGTGTTGCTATCGTCACGCGTTCCGCAGAGGTGGTGTGCAAGGGCCGACGCTGTGTGCAAAACAGTGACATTGTGGCCATGTCTCCATCGGATGTGCCTACTGCRGATGAGGAGTGGGAGGACATGATGTTCATGCTCGTTCTCCTCATGACCCAGTGGGTGAATAGGCGCAACGCTGCGGCCATGGCCATTCTTGAAGCAGTCGCCATCACCCCGCTCATGTTCCGAGATGTGTAGGGGGCGCTGACGATGCTTGCTGGGGGGGTGGTTCACGACATGGCCTTGAGCTTCTTCGCAACAGAGGAGTTGGGAAGACACATGAACTGTCGGAGAAGGTGGGTGTGGATGCTGGAGCGCAGCGGAGGTCTGTGGAAGGACCTGCAAAGGGTGGGTGCGGATCACGACAAGGTGTTCGTGCAGTTCTGCAGATTACCAAGACCTTTGTTTTTGCAAGTTCTCCAGCGCATCACCCCCCATATCCAGCGCTCACCTACCAACTTTCGGTTGCCTCTACCGGTCGGACACAAGTTCGCTTGTGCACTGATCCGACGGGCGACAGGCGGGTACTACCGACAATCGTCCCACAGTTTGGGTATGGGCCTTGCCAGTGCGGTGAGAAGCAACGAGGACGTCGCAGATGCTATCCTCCACGAGTACGGACACCTGCTCCAATTCCCCACAGGAAGGCGTTTGGAAGAGGTCCATAACGCTTTCGAGGCGAAGGGGTTTCCCGGATGTGTGGGTGCCATCGACTGCACACACGTGTACATTGACAAGCCAAAGGCCACGCGGTCAGAGTGCTACTATCATCACACCGGAGACTTCTCTGTCGTCGCCCAGGTGGTGTGTGATAGCGAGTGCAGAATTGTCAGCGTGTATGTCGGTTGCCCTGGTTCCGTGCACGACTCTCGTGTGTTGCGTACGTCACCGCTGTACCACAACACCATGGCAGGCAAAGGTGTGTTATGCGAAGGTGGAGCTATCCTGCACGACGGGACACACGTGGGTCGTTACCTGCTTGGAGATGCCGGTTACCCCATTCTCCCGTGGATCATGACACCTATGGGAAGATTCGCCAGAACTGATGCAGATCGCACTTACGACGGATGTCACTCGGCGGTGAGATCCTGTATAGAGCGGACATTCGGACGTTTGAAGACCGTGTGGAGGAATTTCATCCGCACTTAGATCGCGAATTTGGAGACGCTGCGCAAGGAATTTATGGTTGTGTGCATACTACACAACCTCATGATTGAGCACAGGGTGGAGATCGACCCGGAGCTGTTGAACCACATTAGCGACAGCGAGGGTGACGGGCAGCCACGCAACCCCCGCTGACACCAGCGCCACAACCGCCGATTTCCACGTCACCTTCCCGATCTGAACATCGAAGCCGTGCCGGAGATTGATCCGACTTACGGCTCCGACCTCGGCTCGAGGGTCAGGGCTGCCTTGATCGGACACGTGGCCCATCATGTGGATGTTCATGGTGCGCCGCCGCCATGTCCATGGAGATAGCGCAATTGGCGATGTGTGTGTGTGTGTGTGTGTGTGTTTGTGTGTGTGTGTGTGTGTGTGTGTGTGTGTGTGTGTGTGTGCGCGCGCAG